AGTGTGGACGGTAATTGAATCAGTACTGAGAAAATGGGCAAACCCTAATCAGTTGTTCACGTTGGATCCCTCAAGGACAGAAGATAGGGAACGTTAACAGAGAAGCAGATGGACCCCAAAATTCTTTGCAGGTATGCGACACGCATTTCAGGGATGGATATGCGCGAAACCTCTACAACGACATCTGCAGGAGAGTTTCCGGTGCAAAGCTCAGCAAGTTGCAGCAGCCGATGTCAGAGGGCGCGCATCACCGACCTACCGATCTCCAGTGGCGGGAAGAAAAGCCCGCGCTGACCCCTTCGGCAGAGTATAAATACCGGGAGTCAGGGGGAGTCTCAGAGTCCGCGCTGGAGAAGCGCTAGAGGGAGCTAACTCCGTCGAAGAGAGGCGGATCTCCCCCTTAGATAGAGAGTTCTTCCTAGTAAACCTGCCGAAGTGGTCAAGAGGGTAAAGCCCGTCGTTTCGTTGTAAGTCTTGTTCACGTTACGCATTATTGTTCTTGTTGTTTGTTGTCGTTTTTCTGAGATAAATTGTTAGTCGTTCCATCCGTGCTGTCTATCGATCCGGTTAAAACCGTTATACCACTAGACACCCCCGGTTACATATATATATACAGGGTGTCCCAAAATAATGTGCACACTGTTTGATTTTGAATAACTCTCTTATTATGAGGTCTTTAGAGAAGCGGTAAGCGCCATTTTGTAGAGCTGGCTTCAACTTAGATTTACAGTATAGAGCGAATCACCGACCGCTCTTCATTACTGTAGGATTACGGTAGAAACTTGGATCATATGGTGTCACTGTGGAAAAAAGCTGCCGTTTCAGAAACTTTCAAAAAGGTGTGAAAACTTGTGTAATAGGGTTTTTAGGGACGCTGAGTTCAATACTCAACTATTCTCAAGATTGCGAAACTTTCTAAACGATGTAACCGCACTTTTTAGGAACATTGAGAAAATGGCCGCTACTGCTTACCTCGCCTAACTCTTCAGTGAAGCATCATAATAAGATGGGAACTTTACCGTTAGAATCAGCAACTATAATTGGCTTAGTGTAAAAGTTTTCAGGCTGTTTTGATTCCTTTCTGAGGCAAAATATGGCCTTTCATGGCCCAAAACCCTCTTTCAAGTTTCTACGGTAATCCTACAGTAATGAAGAGTGGTCGCTGATTCGCTCTATACTGCAAATCTAAGTTGAAGCGAGCTCTACAAAATGGCGCTTACCTCTTCTCGAAAGACCTCATATTAAGAGAGTTATTCAAAATCAAACAGTGTGCACATTATTTTGGGACACCCTATATATATATATTCTAAATTTGATTTTTGTGTTGAGTGAAATTATCGAAAGGAACGCTCAAGGTTACACGATCTGCTTAGATAGAATCTGTGCCCACGTCCACAGAAGAATCCTCCTCGTCCTTCGCCAATCCTCCCATACGTTTGCCCATCCTTCCACCGAATCCTTATTTGCGTCCAACCATCATTGTTTGATAGAAACTATAAGATCAAGTCAGTATTTCTCTATGTGAAGATTTGATTGGCAAATGCTATCCAATTTCTCACCTATATGTATACTAATGTTTATCAACGTCAAAAGTCGTTCTGAAACTTCGGCTTTGTACTTAGTTGACATTGAATTCTCTGGGCAGAGGCCACTTTGAAGTACACTTGACAAACTTCAACCAAGAATTTATTGACAAATCAACGTAACGCATATAATGCATCTAACGCAGAAACTGTACATGTAAGATGGGTTGGAATAGATATCTGTGTTAAGTTGAGTTATCGAGCGGGATGATGCTCAAAGGTACTCGATCTGTTCAGAATCTGAACCGACGTCCACCGAAGGATCCTCCACGTCTACCAAATCTACCGAATCCTCCTCTACGTCCCATTCTTCCACCGAATCCTCCTCTGCGTCCACCCATCATGCCACCGAATCCTCCTCTACGTCCACCCATCATTCCACCGAATCCTCCTCTGCGTCCACCCATCATTCCACCGAATCCTCCTCTGCGTCCACCCATCATTCCACCTCGACGGGATCCACCAAAACCACCAAAGCTGGAGCCGAATCCTTGTGCCGCAGCCTCAGCTACCAGTAGGAATAGAAGAATACAAGCCCAGAAAATTTTCATTTTAGAAGTGAAAGTTTGTAAGGCTGGTAGAAATATGAAAAGAACTGAATGGATTCGGCTTTTATGGAAAAGTTCCTTACAAAAAATTGCTACGTCAGCAATGAATGTGACATTTAAATCGTGTTACTGGCCAAATTGTATTCGTAATAAAAGATTCTTCGCCACAAAAATGCTTTTGAAGTTTGGCAAATTACTGCCATTAACGGAGTCACTACATCTGCATCACTTCTTGACTGGAAAAACCCGCACTAGAAAAATTTCATATTTTGTACGTCATGCTCTTGTCATTACGCATACAGTGATGTTTGCATCCTTAAAACCTGCTCATGATGCATTAATGGTTATTGCCATATGTAGGTTTTGGATATGCGTAAATTTCGTCAGTTGCATTGAGAAAAGGAGATTCTAATTTTCGTTAGTACATTGACGATCACTTGACACACCATGTGTGTCAAGCAGTGACTACCACGTGGAACCGCTTGACGCACATGGTGTGTCAGGATTTGAACTTTGCTAAAATGACGATTATCTTGGTGCAAATCATTCCAGAATTTTTTTCCGCTATGAACCTGGAAATGACCTCTTCTTCTTTGTCAGCCTTCCACAATTACTGTAGGTATACTGTATATGGCGGTATCCGTGATTTCAGCTAAAAATGCTGACTGGTCCGTGAAAGATCTTGGTCCCAAGAAACAGACAATCAAGAATCTGCGTCGTCATCAATGTGTTAATGAGGAATGGAAAATTTAGTATATGTGTATAATGTGCGTTTAATACATTTGCTTCACCGTACAAAATCAAGACGTAGATGCCGTTATATGTATCTCGAATGCCACCGGAATGCAGGTTTCTGCGAATGCATTTTCAAGAGAAATCGTCTTCAGTATAAGTGCAATTTGCGACCAACTTCACACATTATACGAAAGTGCTCTTCATGCTCTCCCTTATACCTCTTAATTCTACGATCAGCTCCATTTGTTCAAATTCTATGATCATGCGAAGATGAAGCTTCGAATTACAAAATTCACCCTTTGCACTATTTTGGCTTGAACTTTTTCGGCAAGGGGGGCATTTCCATGGTAATAAAGCTAAAGCAAGATGCCGAGTGAACCTACAAAACGAACAGCAGCGCTTCTTTTTAACAATTGTGAGAGCAGAGAAATTGAACCTTCAACATGACCAATTGTTGCTGCCACTCCACGGCGTAGAAAACTTTTGTGAAAAAAAGCAACCGTGAGAGTCTGTTTTCGTGCTTGAAAAGTGGGTCCAGTGTCGTCAGACTTTATTTTTGGTGAGTAAACAAAAGTTCAAAATTTTCGGAGATCGCAGCCTTAGAGAAAACATCAGAAAAATGGACAGTACTGACTCCGCAATTTCTTGTTTCGCAGAAAATTGCTTAAAAAATTTCTGCATAGCTATATATGTAGCAGTGATTCGTGGCTATAAGCTGAAGAAGTTTCTCGCTGAACACTCATACCCGATAGGAGTTTACAATTTGTCAAAGTTGGTTTTGTTAAAGAGAACACTTCTTATTTTCTGGTTTCCAGTAAATAGCTTGTTGGAGCTACAGAGACAAGTAGACCTGCTTTAGATAGACAGAGACCTGCTGATCGCAGCGGTTCTTGCCATATTTCAGAATATGCAGTTTCAAAGGAGTTATGACTTGAAGTGAGAATTTTCGAAACCTGTATTTAATTTCCGGAAAACGTAATATTCGACTATTTTTGGCTAAACTTCTCGCTCATTGCCATGACAAACGACATCGAAAAATGGTGACTACCCAATGTGGCTTTTAACAGGGAGAAATGTGAGCTCTCTTTAGCATTCAAAATCACAAATCGTAATTTTAGAATTGATTTTCAAAGTTTTGCATGTCTCTCGCAAACAAGAGGGGTTTCATTTAGCTAGGAGTTCCTTTGGCCAAGCCTTTTTTGCAATAGAATTTTTCGAACCCTGAAGGTCGACTTCTACAAACTATGCAGCCAAGATGCTTGATCCAAGGCTCGGCCTTGGGTCAAGCATCTTGCTGGCTGCCTTTCCGAAAATGCAAAAAACGAGTCCCCCTTTGACATGTCTCAAATTTTACGAATCTCCTTTGACCCTAAACCATAATTGTTAAAAACACCTTAAAAAACGAAAAGTCAAGTAAGAAAAACCGTCCCAACTTCTGTGCTCTTCGGCCACTGGTATCACCTTTGTTTTTGCCCCAAAATAGATATTTTAATTGCAAGCCACCTATGCTGAGCCTTGGCTTAATCGAACCTTAGAATGCTTGCCATTTTCGTACCCCTTCGTAACCATAGACTATACTTGTTCTATTATTACCACGTGTTTTTCTTTCATATTTTGCTCCTGCCTTATGTGATTGCTGTGCTGCAGCTTTCCTTTTAAAATTCGTTCTGTTATTTTGTTTTCTTTTTCTTTTTATTTTTTATTTTTAGTAATATTACCTTTTCTTACATCATAATCTGATTATTCAGAGTTCAATATTCACGCTACCTTACATTTTGAAGACGACAGTTTCGATGAAGATAAAGCTAATTTGGCAAAAATGGAGCAGTATTCCATCCAAGAAAATTATTAATCTGAAGGGATTTTTTGTTACTCTGCGCTAAACCATTAGACTACCAACTTAGGAAATTCATTTCGAAGCTTCACAGTCCGAAACGTGTGTCTCAAACGAGCGCTAAAGTTTTTACGACGCTTTGATAACGCGGCAAAAGGTTGGTTGTGCAGCTTTTCGCCTTAGCAGTATGCGTCATCTGATTATCCTAGCCTTGGGTAATTTTTGATTACCCCATTAAATTTAGCAAGTAAAAATTCGCTGTATAATGACTCGTTTGCAGTTTCCACTGCTCTTGCTCAGCTGCAATGTCGCAGCACGCACTTTCAATACTGTCAGACAATGCTGTCATCCGGTGTTGGGCTCAATGACACGATGTCATCACTGATGTTCAAGGTAATCGATTATCGACTGGCATAAGAAATTGACTCTGGACTAACCAGCTTTACCTAATCGAATTTAAGGACTACACTGTCTTGTATAACTGGTTCCTCTATAAATGGGGATTAACGCCGGGAAATACTGCGAATATGCTGAACGTTTGCAAGTAGCTACCTCTATGATCAATACGGTAACCTCTTCAAAAATGTGAAATTTAGCTCGCTCGAGACTTTCAATGGCTGCATGTTCGATGACAAAGGATGCTTCCAAGTTGAAAATCTCATGAAACAGTCGGACTTAAACAGTGTGAGTTGAAATGCAATAAATGGTATTCAGATACATAAAGAATAAGCAATGATTGGTTTCTCCTCGAAAACTCTGGAAAAGTCTAAAAGTATTGCTACGGGTTTGTCATCTGAAGATCCTGCTTGAATGGGGGTGTCAATTTTTCTGCTATCGAATTTACTCAAAGAAATACGTGAATATTTTGTATGATTGGAAGAAATGGAAGCAGAGCTAAGACCTTCTGAAGGAACCGAATTTTTAGAATACCGTAGTCTTTTTTTTCATGGCATTTGACGTAGCGGGTCTGATTTAGGCTTTTGCAATTGATGGAACTCTCGCCATGTATCAATTTAACTGTGGTCCCGGAATCAACAGTAAGATATAAACAAAAGAAGCCTATATTTTTAAATTTATCGACTTATTTTACAGCTCTGCTCCACGAAGGTTTGGCATGTGCCCAAAACATTATCAGCGGTTATCAAAACTATCTTCAAACATGTGTCGTAACATACATGTCTTCAGTAAAGTATGACTCCAAGAACGGTTGCAAGTAAGACATATTTTTTCAATTTCTAAAACCACGCTTACTAGGCTGTCCCAAAAGTAAACACCTTTGCAAATATCAAGCTGTTTTTGTTTTCCTAGCAGACCTAGGGTATCATTCGATAGAACGAAGCAAGCCCTGCAAATGACTATCAACAATCCATCTAAGTCGTGATCTAGGTGGAATCTGGAGCCAAAAATCAAAATTTTTCAGCTATCTCAGAAATCGAATCTCCTTCCAGAAAATTCCTACGGACTTCCAACTTGGTCATCATACAGTAGGCAGATATACAGATGTAATAGTCCACAGAAATGTAAGTAGGTGCGGGCTCATAATTGAGAAATCAAATCAGTCCAAAAATGTCACTGTCACGGTCACTGTCAAAATGTCACTTTTTTCGTGTTTTCATGTTGAGCTTGGTGTTCTCGATTACCAGGGCGCGTACAGAGGTGAAATTTTGAGAATCATCAAGGCTTGTATGCAATGACTTATGTGGGGGGGGACGGAGTTTGCCTTTTTGGACTACCCTGTTTTTCTCGCTTTCTATGCGCGAAAAAGTTAGTAAAGGCTCATTTGAGTAGATCTAGGTGTCTACTGCATATCGAGTTGTAGGCCTAAGAATTTTTTTCGCAGAAATTCAATTTTTAGGTGATATTTATATTTTGGCTCTTCTATTTTGGCTCCAAACTTTAGGAGGTTACGACCTGGTTGGATCTTTGACTGTCATTTAGTAGAGCTTGTTTCGCATCGAGTGTTATCCTAAGTGCTAGGAAAACAAAAACAGCTTGGTTTGTTTAGTAAAAGAGTTACTTTTGACAGTTCAATAGATTTCATTCATACGTTCCTGAACCCAAAGTCAGCGTTTTTTTGCCTTCAATTTTGGTTTTTTTAATAAAAAAAACTTTAAACTTGTGTCGTTCTCAGCTCCATTACAGCACCCTGCATTGCAATTATTGTCCCTTTGAACCACTCTACAATTCAGTAACTCTAGCCATTTTTAGATATGTGAAAAACTTGATAAATTGCTGGTCATCGCCATTTGGAGGTGGCGGTAGCATGGCAACACCGGACTGTCGCCGAGCTGGAGCCGCCGATACGTGGTGGGCCTGTGAGGCCAACCGCGTGTTCACCCTGAATCAATTCCCAAATTGTGGATACACTTGTGATGGTCAGTCTTGCGCTAACGTGGTACCTTTAGATCTTTTCTCTTTTATGGGAGTTCTACCATAATGCATTTGTCCGATTTTTCAGTTCAACAGCAGACCACTGCCTTAGCTGATCATCTCAAGACACATCACAAGGTACATAGTGAACGTTTTTGCTTCGGAAAACAGTCAGAAGATTTATGTGGTGATAATAAAACTACCATTTTCCACTTTTCATTCTCGCAGGAACTTGACTACTTTCGCTGACTTCCAACAATGAATCAACGATGTTGTGCACTTATGATTCACTGTTTTAGATTGAAAATGGAGTACACCATTACAAAATCCCCAACTACATTTCGCTGGTCAACGAAAAGGTTGAGACAGTTGAAGGTCCATGGATGCACAATTAGATCAACTTTGACACTGAAACTACAATAAAGATTGTTCAGAAGAAAAATTGTAGAATTGGGTGCGCTACTGTGTTTAATGAATAATCATGTTCTCATTTCTTTTGACGGAATCCATGAAGAGAAAAGCTAAAATTTTGACCGCGATTTGCTTTGCTGCTCAGGATCCGATCTATCCCCGATCTATCTATCTATATGCCATGCTCATTCTCGCATAACATGGCATTGAAACGTACCGCACAATGCCTGCCTTAGCAAATGATTCGTAAACATCCACTCATTCCTTAAGCTTTTTCGTGTGAGATCAGTATTTTGCGTGTATGAAACTTTGGAAGATGAAGAACAAATGCAGAATTAGAGCACTTCTAAGTTTTTTCATGGCTTGGTAGTGGCCATAAGGATAATATCGACGGCGAGCTACAATCCTGTGCAAAAATCTTCTCAAATGCTTATTTAAAAACCTGGTAAATTGACCATATACGCAAATAATTCGTTTTGGCGCCTTTTTCGGCGAGCAATAGACTTCCATCACTTTTTTTGGGCTAAAGATCATGGCCAACACATTCACTTGCCAAACATAATCACTCTTTGCAATAAGTGGTAATACGGACCCAATATTGTGCGCCAGACGTTAAGTGGATCCCTTTGGGGTGCGATTTTTGAAGGACCTACTCAATGGATCTGCTCGTGCTTTGGCATGGTGAATCTGGATGGCGGCAGTGCGTGTTGTGCAAAAAATTGCGGCTTGAAACCTTGTCTGCGGCTCGTTCTGTGAATTTCGTTACAGACAGGCAGACACACACACAAAAACACGTAAACGCCCTTAGCCCGTTATTATAAGTCATGATAGAGGGTTGGAGAATTCTTTTGACTCATTGAAGATGACGGCATGTCGAATACCCAATCCAGCTCCGCAGGAAGATCTCTTTCCTGCGCTGTGCCGTATTCGAAATCAGTATGCTGAGAAACCTCACGCAAAGATTTAAGCACATTCCGGATCTGACCTATCCATCGTAGGGTATGTATAAGTCATTTATTGAATAGTGACAATGGATTTGACTCGGACTTTGCGCTCAAAGGATCTTAAAACGCTCATACAAGAAGACATCACCACAACGCTCAGCTCTGTCACTTCCAGATATATACTACCATACGTAAGCAAAAAACTAAAGATGAGAACCAAGAAAATGCTTTCCGGAAGTGTAGTACTTGTAGCGCGCGCTCACGCCATCGTCACAATTTTTCAAATGCTCTATATGTATGCCTAGATGTAGGGACGTCAAATAGCTCATACTCATTTTACAAGGTTTTAGAAGCATTCAAGTTTTCAAGGATGTCGCATGGCAAACTGAGTTGTTTAGTCATGAAATTTCATGTAGATTCGAACCATTTGAAAGTCCGTGAACTTGCAACCAACATTAAAATCGTAAATATCTTAGCCAACTTTGAAGCAAAAGCCGTTGAACTCGCTCAGTAGTAGCCTTAAACAACTGGTAGGCCAAAGCACTTTATCTGATCTTGAAGACTTTGAAATGGTTCTGATACAACCGAAACCTCCACCTTTTGACCTCTTCTTCAATAGGGTTATAACCGTAATTTTCTACCGTACTTACTAACCTCAATATGGCACTAAAACCTATATTTTCGATTTGTGAGTTCTGTAATAACAGTTATATATTTTTACTGGACTAATGTCACAATGTAGAATAGCTGTGATCTTTTCCTTCGATGTTTTCCAGGGCAACGGAGTCTAAAAGAAATGACTAGCTGTAAAGAAGAAAAATGAATGGAAAAAAAGTTCATTCCATGTCAGCCCTTTAGGTTATAAGGGTTCGGAAGGGTCGGCCAATTAAATAGCATACCACAACAACCCGGTTTGGCAAGGTATGATGGTCAACACAGTAATACGATCTCCTCAAACTCAGGGGGCTCGCTACACCCAATAACTGCGTCATCATGAGCTTGAGCAGAAGCAATTCTAGAAGACTAACCTGAACAAAGCAATTTTTCCTTAGGCTTTGCTGGCCTGTATAATCGAATGTTTATGTTATTATGGGTTTGCGGCTTCAGTATTCGTCTTGCGTTTTATTTACATACTAGCTGGTGGTCCCGGGTTTCACCCGACACTCCAGATCAGTTTCGATTACAGAAGAACGTGTGAACTTACGCTCTAGACTTTTTCTAACGTGCGCAAAAAGCGTTGGAACGAATTGCCGCATCCTCCCGACTTCGAAGTTGAAATAGACTTTACCGCCCTGCTTACATGATTATGAAAAAATGATCGTTTGGAGCATGAAAAGTTTTCATTTTTCAAGATTTGAGTAAGCAAAGTAATACAGTAATAGAAGGACCCAGCAAATTGTCACAAAAAGTAGCTATGACCTTCGCAATTGTCGAAAACATATTCCAAAAGTTTCAGTCAAATTGGTTGAACGGGGTGTTTCTATAACAAACGAACAATCTAACTGAACGCCTTCAAAAACTTTAAATTTTATTTATATATAGATTTCTCCCTCTTCTGGAGGCTGAGAATTGGCTGATCTCCTATGTTGCCAGATTTCCTTATTTTTTGCTATTATTTCGGTTTTTTTGCTTACTGTGCACCATGAGTGTATGTATAAAATAAAATGACATTTTCAAAGAGTATGATATAAAAACATTGGAAGTAGGGAAGAGGAACAGCGCATGCTTTACACAAGTAATTGTTCAATTGTTCAATTGATAATTGTTTCCTTGATTAACAACAACTCCTGCCTAATTTGTACGAGAACTGATAACACAAAAAATGATTTATTTAAGTGCAAACATATCAGTTGAAGTTGTAACTCCCCTCTTCAATTGGTCTTGGCTGGAAAAGAAAACTGCGCTTTATTCTTATGACATTCGCAAAATTCAGACTCACGGCACTTTGTAGAATGCTGGCAGTGCCTGAACTGTGCGTTTGTGTATTCACGTCCAGATTCGCAACCGTACCATTGGGCATCAGCCTAAATTTTGAAAAAAGCATGAATGCGAAAGCTTCTAAATTTATCAGCTTACAGCATTTGTCGCACGACATGCGCCATTGCGATAGATTGTTGCATATGTATCCATAAGGTTTTGAGCGTATCTGTGCAGAATAAAATAAAAAATAATAAATTATTAATTTAAATTAAAATAATTATTAATTCTTTCCTTTATAATAAATTATAAAGGAAAGAATTAATAATTTTTAGGGAAGCAGAAAGAAACTACGTTCTTAGAAGGGAGCATAGAGTCAAAAAGTCACGAATAAATGTCATCATTCGATTAAATGGATTGACTTCACCTCACTTCTATGATTAATTTTTCGCACATTTTTGGGGAGTCCATCAAAGCAGGTACCTGGTGGATATTTGAACTCAACAGAATTTGGCCAACTTTCAAGTCTTATATATAAAGCTGAATGTCTGTTTGTCTGTCTGTCTGTCTGTCTGTATGTCTGTACGTATGTTCCGAATAGAAAATTCCATTTCTGAACCAATCCGGACCAAACTTGGCACACATACACTTCGGGCCCCGGCGGACGTCATAGGATACTTTTCGTCATCGATCGATTCGATTTTATCGATTTTTTGCAAAATTTGAGCTACGGGGCTGGGAGTTGGCACAGGGGGGTAATCGAGCATGCTGATTACGAATACAATAATGACAGGGCCGGGCGGAGCCGGGTAAGTCAACTAGTTACCTATATTTTTGCTCAACTTGTTTCTAAGAATACTCTAAGCCGATCTCTGATTGAGCTTTGTGTGGCGATTCACCCTTTTCTCACTTTCTAACATTTGAATTCTTACTTGCACGCGTTGTTCGGGTCGGCGGTAATGTTCATCCTGTAGTCAACGACCACCTTGCCCATGTCTGTATTGTAATTCACATATGTGCTTTGAGTGCAGGAAGTGAACGTCGAGCTTTCGTAGACGGCTAGAAGAAGCTTTTATGAGCAATGCTCCGTATTTCGAATATGTGGGGTCCCGCAGAATAACGCAAATCTATGGTAACATTTATAGAATCTTCTTGAGTCTTAATGAACATCAAAGCTGTTCAGCCTTTTCTCACTTTGAAACAGTCACCCCTAATCATTTGTGGTTGATGAATTCCGCACTTACCGAAAAAGCCAGCACCGCACTTAAATCTCCAGTCGGCCATAAATCCTAAGTAAGCATAAGCATCTTGTGGAGATCTTCCCATACCGACTTGTCCAACCAAACCGAGGCAGTTTTGGATGTTAGCGGGGCCGAGACAAGCGTAAAAGTTCGCAAAGCCACTGAAATGTTCTTTGACTTGAAAGTACCAATATGTTGACTGGCTCGATCAGTATTTGAAATTTGAGTTTTGCGCAAGAGCGTAGTAATCAGAACATTTACAGCGGACACTGGTGTGGCAGGGGAATGCTGGAGCTAATGTTCTCAAGAAAGGGGATGAACTTGTATCTAAGATAATATTGGTGAGAGAGAAAAGAATGTCGCTCTTTATTTCCTCGTCAAGATATGTCCACGTGGAGTTCGAAGATGGAATTCAAAAGCTTCGATCCGAAAACTTAAAAAATTTGAATATCTACCCAAAGAATTTCTACGGAAAGCCAACTTGCTCACATGGACTTGCATTCCTCATCAGATATTCACATGCGCATCTGCTGTGATTTTTCCTCAGCTAGACATAAAGAAATTGAAAATTTTCATGCTTCTGCCAAAGTGAGCTGAGGTGTTCCCGCATAAGTAATTCCATACTATTTAGCTTGAGAACTACATTTATAGGTTTTCAGCCTCTTATAAGAGTCAGTTCTCGAGAAATATCGAATTTTATTTGAAGAACAGAAGAAAAAAAGCCAAGTTCAATATTTCTCAAAAACTGTCTCTTGTAGAAGGCTGAAGATCTGCGATTAAACTTTCCTAGCTAAGTAGTATAGAACTACCTACGTTGGATCAACCCACCATCATTTCGGCAAAAACATGAAAATTTTCAACTTTTTCATGTCTAGTTAGGAAAAAATTACAGCAACTGCGCATATGAATGTCAGATGAGGGATGTGTGTTCGTGGGCAAGTTGGTGTCCGTGGAAATTTTTTGGACGGAGATACGTTCTTTTTTATTTTTTCGGTCGTTTGAAGCATTTTAAATTCCGTCTTCGAGCTTCACATGGACCAAACTTGTTGCGCAGTATGGCCATTTTGTAGAACTTCCTTTGCTCTGTCGAATATTATCTCATAATATTATCTTTCTAGGATACTGTTGCAATCCCTTGACCAGGAAATAAAAAGCGACACTCTTTTTTTTCAGCCCAATATCAACGATTTTATTGCCATAAAAGCATTTTGAGACATTTCCTACATTGCGGCAAATGTCCAGCTTGACTGATTTAGACATAAGTGACGATTGAGTAACCAAACTAAGTAACTATGAAGAAAATTTTATGAGCTCTCTAGAACGCTGATTTTTCTTTGTTCAGAAAGAATATGGCAAGATAGGAAATCAAACTCACTTGCATATGTTCGCATAATTGTTTATGCTATACGGCAATTTCATCAGCGAGAGCATCACTTGGTTCAGCTGATTAATGTCATTCCACATGTTTGAGGTGCTGAAAAAAGACAGTCAGTTTGGAAAGCAGGATTCCCTTCGCATAAGCGCAAGACTGGCAAAGCTACTTACTCCACATTCCAGTATTGGCCGAGTGCCACATTACAATGGCTGAACTTCGTAGAATCACATTTTTCAGTCTGCTGAGAAGATGCAAATGGCAGTAGCCCTAAAAAGGAACCATGGTCTGGTATAGTATAACGAAATGCTTACATGTTTCTCTTCGCAACTTCTTTTACTAGATTTCAGATGAGGTTTGCTTCTTTGATGAAGTTCATATTTTCTTTTGCAAGGATGCTCATGTAAATTTAGAGCCGATCTCGGCTATGGAATGAACTCATAGTCTACAGTAAAACATAGATTTTGCTGTGTGCTCGAAACTGACATTCCAACCTATTTCCAAGCTTCTAAACTAACATCAGAGAAGGAATAACTCTAAGGCGTGATGACAGATTACTCTAATCAATGAGTGCCACAAGATGTGCTGACCAATGTTAGCACTGTAAACTCACAGAAAAGCTGATTGTGATTTGCATAAATTTGCGGTAGTGAGACTTTACATAAACTGACAGGCAAGATTCATTTCTGACCTATGGTATTTATAGATCTTGATTTTACGTTGATAATGATGAATGTGATGGCAGGAGTTCTAAATAACAAAACGCTGAATATAAAATTTACCCAGTAAAATGATGAATTTCATTGCAGGTTGAAGGCCCAGGATGCAAGAAACTCGCCAATCTGATAAGCGCCGAAGTTACTGAGATACGAGTTTTTACGACCTGCAACACACTGATGGTCGCAAAAGGTATAGTTGCTTGATCACATTGCTAACTCTCACAAAGGGAGATCGCGCAAAAAACGCAAGAATAATTTATAAATAGGATAAGCGATACACAATGAAACTCTATTTGTATAGTTTGAATGATACATGATTGATCATTTGAGAATCCTTCCAAGATTGGAGTAATGCAATTTTTGACTGTTCCTTGTGCTTGCTTTTTTGCACACATTCTTCCTCCTTTTTTTGACAAAAAGATATTATGATTTTTGAGCTTGACCAAGACTGTAACAACGTTTGGCTGATGTTCACATTTTGAAAAGAAGGCGTGAATCGTCAAACGTCGAAGCCAGCCAATAAACTTGTTATACCAATCTTGATCAAGCTCGGAAATCGTGCCGTGCTGTTTGAAACAATGCCAAGATTCGAGGAGAATCGAATCAACATTCTATGATACTAGTAGCTTGCTAGCGCTTAGGGCAGCAACGAATCTTCGACTGGACCTTTCCAGGAGCGATTTTGGCAAGAGTCCAGGAAAGAAATTTTAAATTTTCATGACTTTGGGCACGGGAACGCCATCTATGCGACTTTGCGACATTCTCCCTGAACTATTGAAATGTGCTCCAATGTGTTCCTTTCATCGCTCGCAAACTCAAATGTTCTGTAAAACGAACAAAAGGATTGTACTACTACTGTAGTACAAATACATTACTTCACTTTGAACTACTTGTACACAATGCTGTAGAGACTTATTACTTAAAGGCAATGTCCCGGCTGATTTTGCCTTCCCATCTTTCTGCATGGTTTGGGCCTTTTCGACCCATAAATCCCGAATTTAAGCTTTAAAACGGGTGAAAAGACCTTTCGGGGCGTTTACCCAATTTCCAAAAGGCAGCTTGGACGAGAATTTCAATGGAAAGTTGAGAGGCCCTGGCACGGAGACCCTGCTGCCTGTAATTTTTGCTTTTATACCATGCACAATGCGGGAGAGCGGTCGTGGGGTCCGGGCAGAACAGTAAGTGAAGACGTCCGAGGCGCGCCGATTCAAGGGCTATCTTCTCGGACCAGCGGGAACATCAACCAGCCAGACCGCTCTTAGAGGCCAGTGGATAACCAGCAAGCCCGCCTTAGTAATATCCCCCAGGGCGCGAATCTGCCGCGACACTGCGTTTGAGCATTTTTTGGAAATTTGCGCGATACTCGCCCCCGCTTAATTGACTTTGAAGACGTCACCGTGGCGACTGGGTCGTCATGGAACGCACTCCAATAGCTTTTATGATTTTTCGACTTTTTTGGTGTAAATCTCTTGCGCAGTCTACTCTCTAGCTTTGTCCCTTGCTTTAGTTCGTGAAAATCAAAAAAAATCATAACTCCAACTCTTAATAATCATGGAGCCAACCAATCAGCGCTGATCATACCGTCCACCTTTCACCTTAGATCTGAGTTCAAGTGATTGAAACTTGTAGCGGATCTAGTACTACTTGATATTTCGGTGCTCACTTGCTTGAGATAAAACTCTCTCTACACAAGTGCAGCGGGATTTCCATCTGCAGGACTATTTGGCTGTACAAGTTCTGTCCGCTTCGTTTTTTGAAATAAAAGTGCCTTTTTGCTTCATTGAAATGAGCATTGGAATAATGGCTCCTTTCTAAGCATAAGCTTCAAGCAAAAATGACTGACGTACCGCGAACAGACTCAAATTGAAACAAAAACATTTGTGTCAATGTAATCTATCTTTTAGGATTTCTTGCAATCCAACTTCTTGCAAAAGCTGCCAGTTTTTGCCGCTCGGCTTGGATCTCTGTGGGATGCCTTGGTTTCTCACTAACCCCCATCATGAGCAAAACTGGAGCATGAGGTCAGATTTACAACACCATACTTTAGAACCGCCATCCACGCACTTCAGAACAACTTTTCTCAAAAATTCTGTATATTCATGGGCCGATACAGCAAAACTTATGATTATTCAAAATATAAATGAGCTTGCGTTGAGGAAATGTTATGAGAAACCCTCCAAAATTCCAACGCATTTTGTCTACTCCATCCTTAGCTTCCGGAAAGGCAAAGACAAATATTCCCTGTCCAAACCATAAATGACGATAATAATGAGTTCTAAATTGAACAGATACTGAGGAAAGCCCAAATGATTTTGTTGTTTAGAATAATCCGTTTTGACCAAAATCAAAGCGATAAGAGAAAATGGGGTTATGTACCTGCTAACATTCGCTACCTTTTTCCAAAAAATGTGAGCCCTTTGTATTGTTTCTTGATAGGAAATCAGGCTGAATTTCTTTGCCCCAGGTCGACAGATCATATTTTTCTACTCAAAAACTAAAGTTATCGCATTATTTTCGAGATCTTATTGTGGCTTGTTTAGCTGCACATCTAGATTGGATATCCTTTCGACTGACGTTGTGGCGGTATTGCATTCTTCTGAGCTTGAAATTAACGATTAAGTTGAAATATCTTGTCAAAACCTCCTCAAGACTTAGAAAGACCCCAATGAACCAAAAACTCGAAAATGAAGGCAGGATTAAACTAATGCTTACCTTAACAGATGCTGACAAAGTGGTGCAAAAGATCACTACACAAGTAACTGAGACAACTTTTGCAACATCTACGTACATACAATATGCCGAGATTAAGCGACTGTTCTTGAGCATTATTCAAAATGGTTTTGTTTTGAGCGAACGTTTGTTAGACTTTTTCCTCTGCGTCAATGTCTTCATCAGAGGTCCCTTGTAACGAACTACATACTCATATTTTAGATCTCATAGTGCCAAACCTCCAATATCCACTTGGTCTGGTCAATGCCTCCGCAGCTAGCGGATAAGAAATTATGTATTTCTTTGGGTTTCCGTAGCTCCATCAAATGTTGTAAGTCATATTCATCTAAATGAAGCAACTTTGACAACTAGCTTTTCTATACTGCAATAACTCACGAAGTCTTGATAATAATGTCGTTACGGCGATATCTGTAAGAACCAGAAATACGTCATCCTCTAAGTGATAAATAACTTCCATGTCACATTTCATATGTGCGATTATTATCTGCTATATCAATCAGAACTACAACAGATAATTGAGCCCGTTCGAAAGCTGAATTTGTTCAAGAAAGGCTCAGCGATTTTGAAATGCGCACAAAGCCGCAGACGATTCAATCTTTTGTGGCTACAATGAAACATTTGAATTCTTGGTTGTTTCAAGATCAATGTTTTATTCATGTTAGACGTGGAAATCGTAAAGTAGTACTACCATTTCAAATGCAAATATACGATTCAGAAATCTCTACTATCAAAATCTGTTGTAACAGATACTTCACTTTCGCTTCCTATGTAGAACATTTGTGAGAAAAGCAGTGTAGGAAAAGCTTGGGAAGTTTCCGCGGATTTCATACCCCCCCCCCTTTTTCCCGGATGCTGCCAATCATACTCGTACAATTTCTTCTGATCTGATTGAGGGTAAATGAAATTGCAGTTTATATCTACAGAGCTTATGTGCCTAATGTTGCGTAACAGATCTCTTTCGAGAAAATACACACGTTCTTCCTATCTTATTTATAAAGCTGAATGTCTGTTTGTCTGTCTGTCTGTATGTCTGTCTGTATATCTGTACGTATGTTCCGAATAGAAAATTCCATTTCTTAACCGATCCGGACCAAACTTTGCACACATACATTTCGAGGCCGGCCGGGTGTCATATACTTTTCGTCAACGACCGATATCGATTTTATTGATTTTTCAAAAAGTTCGAGCTACGGGGCTGGGAGTTGGCACAGGGGGGTAAGTGAGCATGCTGATTACGAATATATTATTGACAGGACCGGGCGGAGCCGGGTTTGCCTACTAGTTAAGAATAAAGATAGTTTTATATGTTTTACTCCGTTTCGTTCCTATCCTTACAAGGGAACGATACTCAATGTCCGTGGCCTTTTGAGACGAAATGTATACCATTACACTCGCCTTCGAACGCTGATTCCGAATCTGACTACCGTTTCTGTTAATCATTACTCTGAAGGAAGTTATGGAGGAATTTCGAGCCAACTTTATCCGCCCAGGGTATGGTCACCAGAACGGCCTCTACCGGCGCCATGTTATTGTCAGTGGTTAGTGTGATAGCCTCATAATTTGATACAGGTGTAAGTTCAAATCCTTTTGTGTTTTTATTTTGCACTACCTGAATTAAGGCTGTTCGAGATTCACTCGAATTATGGTCATTGGATACATTTTAACGCAAATAGTAAATTTTTTCCAAATTTCCACATTTTTTGAAGAGTAAAGGCGTTCAGTTAGCTCGTAGATCCGAAAGAAGGTTTATTGAGGCAACGCAAAACTGAAAAACACAAAAGGATTCGTACCTACACCTGCTTCAACTCATGAGCATTGGTGCGATAGGGGGAGCCGGGCTCTCCCCAGGTGAAGGGGGTCTCGGCTGTTTCCGACCTTCCAGGTGAAGGGGATATGTAAGCCTGGGGGGGGGGGGGGGGAGAGAGAGAGAAAAAAGGTAAAAAAGCGTGGTATGAAGTGCTCTAATTTGTACCTTATTTAGGTACAAACTGAAAAAATTATTTTCTAGAATTTAAAAAAAAATAATATTAGGTTGAATCGGAAGTTCTTTTGCACCGAATCCAAAAATTCATAATTTCTGAATTTTTTAACCGATTGGACCGCTCTTATTTTAATATGAAAGAGTAGGTCATGCTCTTTATAAGGACCATCAATTGCTTATTAATGATCATCCATTGCACAGATAGGAGCGGTAGAAGAAAATTGGTCAAAAATTGAATTTTTTGTGTAGGGACATAAAACATCGGAAACTTGCAACAAAAATCGGAGCAGTCGGTATTGTAGGTTTTTTCACCAGCTCTTTCTAATTGTGCAAAGTTTGCGCCGATTGAACGTCTCTACGAAAAGTTACGATTTTCGAGCAAGCAATACAAAAGGATGATTTTGGTTTATTTTGGCATTTTTCAGGGAAATTGTAACTTTTCATAGAGACGCTCAATCGGCGCAAACTTTGCACCGTTA